GCTGCTAAAGATCCTCGATGGTGAGAAGCCATGACCTCGGAGATTCAAGCTCTCGAAGTTAATGCCACTTGGTCTTTGACTGCACTTCCACCTGGCAAGGCCCCTATTGGTTGTCGTTAGGTATACAAAATCAAGCACAAGTCCAATGGCACTATTGAGCGTTACAAAGCTCGTTTAGTGGCCAAGGGTTACACTCAAATTGAAGGTGTTGATTACCAGGATATGTTTTCCCCGACTGCAACGTTGGTTACGTTTCGTTGTCTGCTTGCTATTGCAGCTGCTAGTGGCTGGTCCCTACATCAAATGGATGTCCACAACACCTTCCTACATGGTGATCTCTATGAGGAAATATATATGGTTCCACTTCATGGTCTTCGGCGACAGGGGGAGCATTTAGTATGTCGTCTTCACAAGTCTTTGTATGGATTAAAGCAGGCTTCTCGGCAGTGGTTTTTTAAGTTTTCTGAGGCTATTTGTGCAGCTGGGTATACATAGTCCAAAGCCAATTATTCCCTTTTTACAAGAAAAGTTGGCAAATCGTTCACAGCTCTCCTTATTTACGATGATGATATCTTGATCACTGGTAATGACATGACGGCTATTGGTTCTCTTAAATCTTTTCTGAATAAACGCTTCTGCATCAAAGATTTAGGAGCCCTTAAATATTTTTTTAGGAATAGAGATTGCTCGTTCAAAAAAGGGGATCTTTATTTCTCAAAGAAAATATTTATTGGACATTTTGAAAGATTTGGGTCTTTTGGGAGCACGATCAGCTAGCTTCCCCATGGAACAAAATCTGAAGCTACTTCCTAATGAAGGAGATTTACTTCACGATATGTCCATCTATCAAAGATTAATAGGACGTTTGATATATTTAACTATCAGTAGACCCGATATTACTTTTGCAGTGAACACGTTGAGTCGTTTCATGCAACATCCTCGCAAGCCTCACTATGATGCAGCTTTACGTGTTTTGAGATATTTGAAGGACACTCCAGGTCAAGGTATTTTGTTTTCCTCACAAAGTTTGTTACAATTGAAGGCTTTTTTTTATGCCGATTGGGCAGGGTGTTCGGTGATTCGACGTTCTACTACCGGATATTGTGTTTTCCTTGGAGATTCTTTAATTTCATGGAAAAGCAAAAAGCAGAAGACTGTCTCATTATCTACTACAGAAGCAGGGTACCGTTTAATGGCTGCTACCTGTTGTGAGCTCACCTGGTTACAAAGTCTTTTATGTGATTTACGTATTAAAGATATGGGCGCTGCTGTTTTACACTGTGATAACCAAGCGGCTTTTCACATTGCCGCTAATCCTGTTTTTCATGAGCGGACACGCCATATAGAGATTGACTGTCATTTTGTTCGAGATAAAATTCAAGGAAAGGTAGTCACCAAATTTGTTCCATCTTCAAGGCAAGTTGCTGACATATTCACGAAGCCTTTAGGAAAAGAACAATTCCATTTTTTGCTGAGCAAGTTAGCGGTTTTTGACATTCACTTGCCAACTTGAGGGGGAGTGTTATGATATGAATGATTTCCTTCCCATTTGGTAGCATGGTGATCATTGACTATCAACGATTTATTCTTTCCTTTTGTAAATATATTTACTTAGCTTATTTGTAGGAATTACAGGATGTGATTGTATCTTTACAGTTTGTATAAGAACTCTAGCCTAGCTTGTATATTTTAATGAATCAATACAGAAGATTATTCAAACTGCCATTCTATTCTTAAAAAACCCCAGGGTACAAAAGTTTATATAAAGTACGAGAGAGTAAAACCTTCTTTTCACAATAACTTTTCATACACAGCACATTATCAGTACAAGAAAAACCATTGTGTACACCCAATGTACATACATTTTCTTCCAAAGGTACATCGACCTTAAAATGGGGAACCAAACTGGAGGACCCTCTTCCAAGATGGTATGTTGCTAATGTCATCCCACAATGCAGAGACATGCTTTCTGTCCTTGATCATATACTCCTTCCCCATATTAGCCACCAAGAATTGAGTGAGCGGAAGGTGGCTAAAATCAGCAAGGCTAAAGAAATCACCAGCCAAGTACTTACTCTTCGACAGCCGCTCCTCGTAAATGTCCAACACTCTTCCCAACTTTTCTTCACTTTCTTGTATGATCTTAGGGTCTGAAGGAAAGCCCAAAACTGAGGCAAAGAGAATGTGAAGGACCATATTGTAGCTAGGTGGGTGGAAGTTGTGTGCTTCAACTTCCAGCCATTGTTCCACAAGCCCTCTTTCCTCAATTTTCTTCCCCAGCAAATTAGTCCCTTGTGACTTATACTTTTCTATGTATTACCTTATGATTACGCGTGATTTTGCAGATCGAAGACGATTTATCAAACAACTGGCAAGATTTCAGAAAGATGGACCAGTGGAGTTTTATCTCAAAAAAAAAACCTTCGGTTTTATTAGTAGTGGAATCATTAATTACGTGTTGTATTTTATTTGCTCAGGTTTCCGATGTGCAACTTTACATTCTTAGTAAGCAACTTGTTAGATCATTGTATTGGTGAACTTCTGAGCCTTAAAATTTTGTTACAGGACAATATTAGTAGCAGAGAAGGTCGAATAGGTCTTCTCCGGGAGATCCTCTTTGGTCAAGTTCTTGTTACAAAACTTGAGAAGTGATCGGATTCGACAAACTTCATAATTATATTCATTCACAGACTTAAAGTCTTGGAAGTGCAAATGTTTGTAGTCATGTCTTGCTTTAGGCAAGAAGATGTCCTTTTGGTAATCAAAATGATCAGCCAAAGCGACCCAGAGTGCTCATGGATCTTTCACAGCAAGGTACTCGGTTTGCAATGCGTCATGAATATGTCTTTGGATGAAGATCATGGCAGTGGCTTTCTCAGTTTCGCCAACCAGGTTATCCATCTCATCTTCAATGGCGGGACACAAATTCTTTACAGTGAGGTGGAGCTTCACATCTTGGACCCACTTGAGTTAGTTCCTTCTAGAGATCTCTAAAGCGGTGAAGTCGAGTTTTTTAAAGTCGACATGCCCCTATCTCAAAATAAATAGACAAAATGTGGTTAGTGTGATGGAGAAAAAAAATCAATCCATTCACATAGAAGTAGAACATTCAGATTCTAATAGACATATATTGGTTTAATTTACATGAAAAAACTTTGTGTTTTTCATGGGTGATGTTTTTTAAGGAAAACTTCAGGCTTCGAAATAATTATGAACTTCAGGTTCATATGTTCCTACAGACAAACACAAATATATATACAGAAATATACAACAATAAAATATGCAAATAGAACTTTAGGTCTAGAATTATAATTGAATTAATTATTTGGACTTCGGGCAAAAAAATTAAAGTGTGGGTGAAAAATTATAAAACTCATAGGGCCTAAAAAATAGGCATTTAAACTTAGGGCCGAAAATAATAGGCCAAAGCCCACAAGCTGGGCAGAGTAATTTGAAATGTGCAGCCCAAGCCCAAAACTTAGGCTAGGTTGGGCTCAGATGGGCTACAGGCCCAAACATGGAGGCACGAATATGCTGCTTCACAGCGCGTATGTTCCCAGGGGGTGCGATCGAGTGCATCACAGGCTAGGTGCACAAAATCACCATCTACGAGCTGGGATCTAGTGTGGTTAGATGCATGAAACTCGGAAAGCCCTTCAGGGGCTTGGTTATGTTGCGGTAGACCTAAGCCATATGGGTTGGTGTTGCAAGTGGGTTTAGGGTGAACAACAACTGGGCTTGGTTCATAGGCCCAGGAAAAAGTTTATTTTTAATTATGTTAATAGGCCGATAAGGGTCTAGGCCCAAAGGGCCATGGGTCAGACCAAACACAAACCCCAACCATGTAGGGTGTGCGCAACAGTGAAGATGCCCGGCGCCGCTGCTTCTGGCAGCCATGTCTGGGTTGGTAAGACTCGAGGAAAGTCACGGTGGTGAACGAAGATGGTTTAATCTCAAAGTTTCAACAACCAAACCCTAGAAAAATTCAAATTGAATTTTCAAAAAAAATTCCGATAAGATTCAAGCGAATCTCGGTCCAATTTTCGTCGGGGACGACTTCTGGTCATCGATGACAATGACCAAAGGCTCTGGGCGGTCGCTACAGGCCATGCCCGTGATGGTCGTGGACAAAGACGCCATTAATGGCGTCAAGGTTTTTCTGGGTTGCAAAACCCGGAGCTTCTGGCTTCGTGGCTTAGTTTATCTTGGCTAGGCGCGAGGAGCCCAGAGACTTGGCTTAGTTTATCTTAGTTTATCTTAGTTGCATACATAATTTATGTAGAATCTAAAATTTGAAAAACGTAAAGTTGGGTCATGCATTATGGTGAATGTTCATACTATCAAGGCTACAAAAATATCAAGATAAAAACCGTTGTTTTAAAAGAACCTGATTGCGTGATGATATTGACGAACTGGTTTGATGCAAAAAACTTCTGTGTCAGATTCCTAATCACAGCGGTAGGAGTGTGCTGATAACGTGTTTTGGCCTATATTTAACTAACAAGGGAAAGAGGGTTGGCGGCACAGAGAGAGATGTGTTTGTAGGGTTGTGTAGAGGATGTGTTATTTCCCCACGCAGTGCCTTTATTTATAGTAATAAGAAAGGGAAGAAATCCTTCTCCTCCCAGGAATACAAGTCCTAATAGAGAAGAATAACTAGAATAAAATATATTCTATTATTTACACAATCACACTTAAATAAGAAGTTTATAACAATTTGAAGTTGCTTTAATTTTGGCAGCTAAGGTGAGGGATGCCAATCCATGTCATGAGACATCCGGTTTGACTTTTCAATTGGAAAATATTTATGCTGCAATTTTTCAACTATTAGTGTTGATTTGGATATTTTGACATCTGCTTTGGAGATGCTCTAAGTTAGTAGGGGAAAGATAAATTATGTACATATAAATGAATTACTATTGACCCTTCAAAAATCTCATTGTGCAATCCTCACATATGTATTCTTCTTTTTAAATATAAATATTTAAAAGAAATTAAAATACTAATAACAATTTCGTATAAATATGGCATACAAAATGGAGGCCATGACATAAAACAAGTACAAGGTGCCAAATGCGATGAGAGAGCATCTGAAATGCATTGAAGTTATAGATATCTATCTGCCCTGTTTTGTATTCATATGACAAACAACCGTCTCCTTCATAGCTAGCCACGACTGACACTTACATGCACAGTATCTTTTCGGTTTCACAATAGAACCTCCAGCAAGTCATACCTCAAGCTAGAACGGAATATGCCAATTATGAAATTTAACCTCAGAATCTTCTCAACTAGTCATAGGCGGAAATTCTGAGTGCAAATCACACCTAGAAATCCATCGTAAGTTTGCTTGATTTGTTAGAAAAAAGTTCGTGAAACAGTTGCCAGTTTGGACATAAGGTATAGCATCCTATGCCCAAACTGGCAGAGAGGGCTTCCCAATAAGCCACCAACTTTAACAAAACGCTCCCAAATTCAGCTTAAGCCATAAGCATTCATGATCCATAAAGCGATTGAAACCATTAGTTACATATCCAGCGAAAAAAGCTTACTTGTGTACCGACAGAGAAAGCAAATTACAAGGAGCGGATGATCTCATTATTCCCACACGTTACTTTCAACTATTTATTCTGACCAAGCTCCAGAACCGGCGAATCCAACGCTCCTCTATAATAACTCCTTAACGTGACAATGTTGCGAATGCAACAATTTCTTTAAATACCTTAAAACGGCGCACCAAATTGGAGGACCTTCTTCCAGGATGGTCTGCTGCTAATATCATCCCACCAAGCAGAGACATGCTTTCTGTCCCTTATCATATACTCCTTCCCCATACTATTGGCCAAGTAGTGGGTGAACGGAAGGTGGCTAAGATCAGCAAGGCTGAAAAAATCACCGGCCAAGTACTTGCTCTTCGACAGCCGCTCCTCGTAAATGTCCAACACCTTGCCGAGCTTTTCTTCGCTCTCCTGGATGATCTTCGGGTCTGAAGGAAATCCCAATGCCGAGGCAAACAAAATGTGCATGACCAAGTTGTCGAGTGGCGGGTGATAGTTGCTTGCTTCAACCTCTAGCCACTGTTCCACAAGACCTCTTTCCTCAATCGTCTTTCCAAGTAAATCGGTCCCCTGGGATTTGTATTTTTCAGCGTAGTACCTTATGATTGCGCGCGATTCTGCAAATCAAATTTGGACGGTTTTATTACAGAACTTGTTAGGTCACTACACTTATGCAGAAGAGAAAAGGGAGGACAAGGTTTTCATCAAACAATTTACACAAAATTTCTCGCTGCCGAAACATTAGTGATCAAACTTTGTTGCTTTGGGAAAGTCACTCAAAAGGTTCAAGGCAAGATAAATATACAAAACATAATTACTGGGGTGAATACTACATAACCATGGCAACAAAGTTATCCAGCTTCTGATCTGAAAAACAATCACCTTCCAGATGAAAAAGCCGCAAGATCGATGCGGTTTACGTCAAACGATATATGAAGTTAAGAATATAACATGCTACACTCTTTATCTATCAAAAATTTCCTACGATATTTCACAATTTTCAACTAATATCTGCAACAAAGAAAACACAGACAATATTAATCAAATTAATATTTATCTGCAAACAAGAAAGGATAAAACTTGACAAACGTTGATTCAAATTCAAAAACAGGCATACCATACAAAGTATAATCCCCATCTTGGATAACAGGAATTTGTCCAAAGGGCTGTATTTTTAAAGACAAAGCAACGCAAAGATCAATATATTTATAGTTTCCGAAAAGATTAATACGAGTAGAGCAATCACGATTAACAAATGAATGAATAGCTAAAGCTAACCTGTAATTTGAGAAATTCCGGAGATTTATGTTCACCCTTGAAGAGATCAATGGGGCTGGTCTCAAATTCAATCTCCTTCTCAACAAGGCACACCAGCACACGCTTCGGCGCAGCATAGAAGGGGCCGTACACCTTCACCACCATTGCAATTGTTATCGAAACCAAGAATTTAGTTCGTGCACAACAGAGTTTGGTATCCAGTTCTTATAGACTCTCCATTTCTTTGAGAGCAACTCCAGTCCTTGAAATTAGGCTGGGCCGAAGCTTAAAAAAATCTTATCCGAAATTAAAAATAAAATTATTTTTTATTATTTTATTAAAATTTTAGTAATATTTTAATACGAATTGATTAGATTTATATCAGCATATTTTTCAAAGATTAAGATGTATTTGACCAATTACTATTTATTGGGATTAATTACAATTATTTGAGTGGATTAAATAGGCTGGATGTCAGCATATTTTTTAGGAGGTGGATTGTCTGCCCTTCCATTTCCATACTATGCTCATCTCCTTCTGTTTGTGTGGTCACAATTAAGCCACGTCAACATTTTATATTCATTTTTTTATAAAAATAATAAAACAAAATGTAATAGGAATATAAAATGTTAACGTGGCTTAACCGTGACCAGATAAAACAGAAGATGATAGAAAGAGTATGGAAATGGCAGGGTAGACAATCCATCTAAAAAATATGCTAACATCCAGCCTATTTAATCCACTCAAATAATTGTAATTACTCCCAATAAATAGTAATTGGTCAAATACATCTTTAAAAAATATGCTGATCTAAATCTAATTCATTCGTATTCAAGTATTATTAAAATTTTAATAAAATAATAAAAAATAATTTTATTTTTAATTTCGAATAAGATTTTTTTAAGCTTCGGCCCATCCTAATTTCAAGGACTGGAGTTGCTCTCAAAGAAACAGTATCCAATTTGCTTTTGCTCTCTCTGGTCTTTTGCTTTGGTAAGCACTTAACTCATCACATCACAAGAGGCGGGAGAAAATCATAATTAACGGGTAAAAAACAAGAGGGAAAAAACACAGAAATTATTAAAGGTGGGTGTTCGGTTGGTCAAGTCAAGTGGTTGTTAGTATCTAATGCATTTATTTGAAGGGAAGTGCTATCTGCACATTATTTTTTATTTTTTATATTTTTTTTAATTTTGATTGTCATATCAAATGAATTGAGAAGATCATGTAACATACATTAACATAGAGTGTGTAAAATATAAAAATAAATATGTAGATAGCACCAATCCTTTTTTATCTTTCACACTCTTCTTAATTTCTGACCATAGTATCAAATGAATTGAGAAGTTCACATAACATAAATTAACATAAAGTATGTAAGAGACAAAAATAAATATGTAGATAGCATCAACCGAAAAGCCAATCTTGGAGGTCTCCCTTCATATTATAGGAACCCCATGCTTAGTGATGGGTAAATACTCATTGGTTATGGGTAACCACGGTTATCCGCCCATTTAAATTAAATGGTTACGGTTATGAGTAACCGTTTAAATAAATAAATGGTTATGGGTATAACCGTTTATCCATGAAATTTAAATGGACGGTCATGGGTATTAACCACGGTTATAAACGGGTAACCGTTTACCCATTTATTTTATATATGTAAAACTAACACAAACCATGTTCTCGATCCAATAATACTTAGCACCCAATCAATTAGCAAGGAATTCATCGGTCCTTCTCTCAATAACACTACTGCATGAATGATGTTCTCATCATCAAGGAATTGGCCAAATTAATTTAAATTTCTTGCAGGTAACCGTGAAATTAACAGAAATGTTTTGACAGAAATGTCTTATAAACAATTTTTGTAATCCAATAATACTTAGCAAATATTATATTTACCTTTATTGGTAACAGTTAAAAATATTATCTGTAAACTATTATTTCAATTATTGGAATTGCATAAGGATTTAAAAAATTAAAATATGAAAATGTATGATGAATGTACCTATAACGGTATTTAATTGTCAAAAAAAAATTATGACAATTTTTTTTTTAATTTTCAAGTTGTTAAAAAACATATAGACGGGTGAAAAAAAGGTAATGGTAAAAAAAAAAAGCTAAACGGGTTAAAAATGATAAATGGGTAAACGGATATTAAACGGTTACGGTTAAATGAGTATGCGGTTATGAGTATGGTTAACCGTTTATAAACGGTTATGGGTATGGGTATAACCGTTTAGGTAATTACCCAACGGGTAAATGGTTATGCAGGTATGAACATAAACGGTTATGGATAAATTAACCGCGGTTACCCACCCGCATAACCATTGCACATCCCTACCAGTGCCCAAAATCTTCAGAAAATAACCATTCAAGTAGGATTATAATAAAAACAGAATTATGCTACCAAAACACCCTTAAATAAAGAAATTTAGAGAATAAATTGAAATAGAAGTTCGAAATCACTTCCATAAACTATATAAAAAATTAATATTAATTGCACAGTTTGCAAAACAAACTCACACAAGGAAAGAAGTTTTTCAATGTAGCAGCTATACCACACCGTATTAAATCCACTTATGTCATAGCATTGCATCTCTTTATTAATACTATAGTCAAAGTCCATGACATAATACATATCAACTATATTGTACACTGATCTTATTAGAACACGTGAATTAATAACATTACCTAACGACACGACGTCAGACTCAAAATTTCTTCATCAACGCCACCAATTTTCCAAAAAATCATGGCTTACCTAGAAAAACTCTATACATACATACATTCATACATACATACATATATATATATATATATATATATATATATACATTCACAGTTCTCTCTATACATACACTACGGGGAAATAAAAAAAAAATAAATAAAACTTCATGGGTTATCAAAGAAATTAAAAACCAGCAAGAAATCAAACAAAAAAAATGCAGAAAATATTAATCACTCAAATCTAACAAAAACCTAATAAAATCGAAGCGGAGAACCTTCAGACATCATCATAAGGCCCCGAGGGTTTGAGGTGGGCAGGAAGGAGAGAGAGAGAGAGAGAGTGGATCTCATACGAGCAGCAACCGAATCGAACATATTCAGATTGAAAACTATAAAAACTTTATAAAATGGAAATAAGGAAATCACGATCCCCTCAGTTATTTTCTTATCCACATGGTGTTCGACTGATTGCCGCTTCCAGCAGAGAGCACCCCTTTCTCTCCCGCACCATCCTCGCCCCGCCCCGCTCGCGCCCTTCCGCATAACGCCGACCGCCAGCTTCTATTTATATGCCAACATTTTTTGTGCTTTCCTTTTGGATTTAGGGCTGCGGTGTTGGTGTCATTGGGCCTATTTGGTGGATCCTCAGTTGGGCCAAACTTGAAAATTACTTCAATATTTCTTGAAGAAGTAGTGGCTGATTTTTTCCAAATTTGTAAGTAACTATCAATTTTACTTCTGAACTTTTATAATTGGCCAATTTACTTTTATAATTGGCCAATTTCTTTAATGAGCTTTAATTTTAGCCGCTTACCTCCTAAACTTCTATAATTGGCCAATTTCTCCAATAAACTTTAATTTTACCCGATTACTCCTCTAATTTTTCTAATTGACCCCCCTCCCCCCAAGTGAACTAGCGGAATAGAAAAAAAAATGTTGTCTACCTTATCGATAAAATTACTTTTTTTGCAATTAAAATTAAAGTTTAGGTGAGTAATTTGCTAAAATTAAAGTTTTTGAGAAAATTGATCAATTATAAAAGTTTCAGGAGATAATTGAATAAAATTATAGCTCATGACGAAAATGGTAACTCCTAACAAATTCAGGGGAATGGGGAAATCGACAAATACCTTATTCTTAACATTTATGTCGTCGTGCGATATGCTCATAATTGATTGTGTCTCTTTCAACTTTGTAATTAAACTTCTTGCCCTAGTTTGTGATATTCCCAATTTCCTGTCTTAATTTATGCATTCATCAATGACTCAAAATGCACATATAAACAACTTTTATGTTGCGGAAAGGTCACTACGGCAATATTTTAAGAGAGAAATTTCTCTTCCAATAGAGTGATTCTCTCTTACAACCGTTTCATGGTTCGAGTGGAATCCGTTACCAATCAGTGATCGTCACGTGTTTAGAAAGTGAACCCAACATTCAATAAAGCTTTGACATGTGGTGAAATGGTTGCAAGAGGAAATCTCTTTTCCCATTAATATGGTTTCTAGACCTGGCATTCGTGTCATGTTTCTCGTATTCATGTCGTTTTCGTGTCATACCCAATAGCTTAACGGGTTGTGTCATGTAACACCCGTTAAAATAAACAAGTAATATGATTCGATGCGAAATTGACCCGTTAATATTATCAGGTAATATGACCTAACCCGTTACTGTGAAAAAAATATATTTTAAATTAATAAATAATGAAAATGAAAAACATAAGTTGACCCAAAAAATGTAAAACATAATACTAAATTAATATATACATACCATATTGTTACATAAATATTACTTCAAAACATTATTAAAAAAAAAACATGTATTTCAAGTTTACATACCCAAAATAAGAGCCTAATGAGAAAACATTAGTGCATACTACAAAATACAAATGTTCAAAGATATGCAAAATGAAAAGAGATGTGTTTCAAGGTTGAGGAACATTGCATGTTTTTTTACCATAAAACCCTTGGAACGCAACTCTCTTCATTTTGCATATCTTTGAACACTTGTTTTGAACATTAATGATTATGAATTTTATTTATTTTTTAACTCTTAAAAATACTATTCATGAGGGTTTGTATAGTTTTAAAAATTCAAACGACGATGTACCCATCCCCAAAGTTTAAATGATGTTATTATAAGTGTTTTCATATTGTTTACATTTTTCGTACTTGTAAATTAATTACTATAATTTTTTAATGTGTTTGGTATTTTTAAATTACTTAATATTTTTATTTTTAATGTGCTTTCTAATTTTTTTTAATCTCACTCTTTACGTATAGTATACTATAAAAATAAATAAATAAATAAAACTTAAAATTTTAAAATTTATATAGAATAATAATTAATAAACAATATATACTTATCCACTATATCTAGTGATTTTTTTAATAGTTTAAAAAATTAAAACCATAAAAATATCTTTTTTCTTAGAATGTTAAAATAGGTTACCAGTATGTTATTTTCGTGTAAACCTATTAAGAACCTGTTATTATAGGGTTCTTATCGTGTAATCTGATAAGAACCCAATTAGTTATTGTGTTGACCTGAAATCCGTATTTTTGTATCTTTTACATAACGTGTTAACAGATCGTGTAAGAAATTATAAGATCTAGGTCTCTGAACAAACAAACTTTGTCAACAAGCAATTAGTTCTGTGATAAAATTTCCAATAATTCTGTACACATTCTAAGCAGCCCCGAATGCTGACATAAGTATGACTATATTGACACACTAATGAACTTCTGCTTTATCCGCTTTAATGGTTCATTGGCTTTTGATGCAAAAGGCCAAATTACCAATTTCACCATATATCCCCAACAACAAACTTCAGATTTAGGGTTTCTTTTTTAAGAGCTCATTTTTTTTAAAATTAATTAATATTTTTATTTTTAATGTGCTTTCTAATTTTTTAATCTCACTCTTTATATAGAATAATAATTAATAAACAATATATACTTATCCACTATATCTAGTGATTTTTTTAATAGTTTAAAAAATTAAAACCATAAAAATATCTTTCTTATTAGCATGTTAAAACAGGTTACCGAGTGTCATTTTCGTGTAAACTTATTAAGGACGCGTTATTATCGGGTTCTTATTGTGTAACCAGATAACGACTCAATTAGTTATCGTGTTGACCTGAAATCCGTTATTTTTATATCTTTTACATAACATATTAACGAATCATGTAAGAAATTATAAGATCTAGGTCTCCAAACAACCAAACTTTGTCAACAAGCAATTAGTTCTGTGTGATAAAATTTCCAATAATTCTGTACACATTCTAAGCAGCCCCGAATGCTGACATAAGCATGACTATATTGACACACTAATAAACTTTTGCTTTATCCGCTTTGATCGTTCATTGGCTTTAGATGCAAAAGGCCAAATTACCAATTTCACCATATATCCCCAACAACAAACTTCAGATTTAGGGTTTCTTTTTTAAGAGCTCATTTTTTTCACCACCAACAAATTCCTTGTAAAGCAAGCAACAAAACTCATGCTCATCAGAATGAAACCACGGACTTCGGATGGGATGACGTTTGCAACTGAGAAAGGGCTGTGTCACTTTCATCGTTCTCGTCGAAAACAATCGGCTTTCCCTCCATGTTTTTTCTGCATAACCATATAAAGTACATAGTCACATTTTCTGTCGAGGAAAATCAATGCTTCTTTAGCACTGAAGAAAATTGTGAAAACAAATTGCGATGCCGTTCTAATACCTCTGCGAGATGAAACTCTCTTCGGACAGTGCCTTTTCCAACCTTTCTTCAAATGGGGTGGCATGCCAACTCACCTTCTGATCCTGCAAATTCAGAAATAACTTCAGACGTCACTTAAAAAATGAATTGAAGACGCAAGAGGAAGTAGAAGGTAGTCAGACAAACCTCCTTGTATTTGTTTGTTGAATTTGGGATTCCGTTTCCATCCCACCACTTGGGTGAGACACGAGTATGTTCATCTTCATTCCAGTGAGTAGCAACAAGCCCAATGATAGGCCTGTCCACAGGAGTTCTTCCAAAATGACGAGTTTGGCCAGGAACATAACCAAAGTGATTGTTGTTATCTTGAGTTACCGGCTTCAGCCACGCGGACAAACTTGATTCCACATTGACCTCTTGTCCAGATGACATTTGTTTTGACCCCTCTTCGGATGTAGGGGTTGCATTTCCCCAGTCGTTAAGAGATTCTCTTGGCTCACCAGAATGTCCAAGTGACTTAGGATCTTCGTCTTTCAGTACATTCCACTGAGAGATGCCGTCTACAGGGTTTTGCACTGAATACACATACTGGGACCTGATTCTTGCCCTTCCATTTGGAAAGTTTTCGAGATTTGCAGGGAAAACAGTTCCTGGTGTCTGCATCTCCTCAGAAAGAGTTAGTGGGGTTGGATAAACCGAAGGCTTTGATATGCTCTGTTTTCCTGGAGTTTCACATACTTTTGAACTCCGGTTATAATTTTCGGATGAAGAACCTCTGGAGGAATTTGTATTATTATCGCATTCAAAGCGAACAGCCTTGCTCCTGCACTGGACATCTGGAGTTGTAATATTCTCAGTCCGGTTAGTATGACTCTTCACTGTGGAATCAGTACCTATTCCGCTGCCTCCAGAAGAGCTGATAGCGATCCTACCAGTATTCTGTTGGTTGAATTCACAACTACAGATAAAAAATGAAATTGGGCAAATGTCAGAAACTATGTTGTTTTGTGGAAATAAATATAAAATATAAGAACGCAAGTCTGGAATCAGTTATGTTTACTTGTACTAAACAGTTCCTCACAATACAGGCAGCACACACACACACACACACACACAAAAAAAAAAAAAAAAAACCAATTTTTTCTCTACTAAAAAGAAAAATATGAGATGGCCATCAAATTTCATTGCTAATACGAGGACAGATTGAAACTCTGGTTTTGCAAACCCATCCCATCTAGAAGTAGAAAATATACTAATGTTCAAGCATTCAAAGCATCTGTAAGTAACTATTCAAACTTTAAAACAGTTATAAGTAGAACCTGCTAGGCGTATGCTCAGAAGGACCTGAACCCATTCCCCACTCTTCATTGTACTTCATAGGCGTAAGGGGATGATCTGGTTGATCCAACTCTTGCTGAAGATTTCTAAAGGATGTGTTTGGGAGCCATGAGTTGAATTTTGGAGGCTCTGAATCTCTATCATGATGGGGTGAGCCATTTAACCTTGAAGACACTTTACGAATTTCAGCTGGGGTTTCCGCTATGGTACCACAAGCTTTAAGAAACTTGGCCTGCAGAATAAGATGCACTGCATAAATAAAACCAATATCTTTAACAGTATGAGAAATTCAAATAGCTAAAGACTTAATCTAGAAATGCATCCAAAGTGTAACTAGAAACAATGACATTAAACGTACTGCGCAAAACGGGAGTCAAAGCTCCAATGACTCCCACAAGTTCTAACTTAGAAAGCAACACTTCGGAAACTAATGCTTGTAACTTCACTTAAACAGCATGTACAGGAAAACAAAGTCTTTGTTGTAGAGCATAAATTGGAGTATTTATATCACTTCAAAAGATTGAGAAAAAGTTACAACATTTAAAAAACTGATTGGCAAAAATGGCCATGCTACGTTTGAAATATGTAGGTTCTGAGCATTAGGCATCGAAAACAATTTAATCTGAACTGCTGTACTGAACATCTTAACTACATCAAACTTTGAATCCGCTAGCTCATAAAGTAAAAAAAAAACACCTCATTCCTGAGCTCCTTGTCAATTTGTGGAGACCCATAACGCGGACTTTCCCTATCTTTGCTTGGAGAACCTTCTTGCTCTTCGAGAGTCACATACAAATCAGACCAGAGAAAATAAAAGGATAATCAGACCAAAGAAAATAAAAAGCAACGAGATATGTAGAATCGGATTCAAGAAATTAGCTTATTGTCTTGGAGAAAATATAATATACCTTCAGCTGAAAATAGAGCAGACAAACGGTTTTGGGATAACACGACTTCCTGATCAAAATAAAAGAAACAGAAAACAAGAAATCAGTCTAAAATTATACATAACTCACTAATCTACTGTTTGGAAGCTGAGAAAATGAAATTGAACATAACGATAATGAATATAACTACACTGGGTTCCAATTGCAATGATATCGGCAGCACCCAAATCAAAATTGAAAAAACAAGAAATCTAAAATCCCTAATCTTAGGCTAATTCAAGATCAAGATTAGTCCTTTAGTACTCAATTGACTATGATTTCCTCAAATTTTCACACAAAAAGTAATTCGCAGCACAGTAAATATAGACACTGAAAGGAAAAACATTTTCCCGGATTTTCTCGGGAACCAAACACCAAACGGAAACCTTACCGTCTGGGGGTTACGAGAGGACTGAGAGACGAGGTGAGGGCGAGAGCGGAGGTGGCGATCATCTTTGTCCCGAAAGCAACCGAAGAAGCAGCCCATAGCTCGCGAAATCGACCTGTCAAGAAACCTCAACGCCGATCTGCACAGATTCCCCAAATCCACGCTTCAACAGCGAGCATAACATCGATTTCAGAACAAACAAAAAAAAAGTAAAAACAAAGGGGAAATCCAAAACTCTAGCTTGTTCTTGGTTTTCCTTTTTAGGTGATTTATTGATTCAGTAGAGAGAGAGAGAGAGAGAGGAATTGGAGTTGTTGGGTCGTTTTTGAATTTTGAACAAACAAAACGAGGGAAACAGATACGCCTCATGCGTTTTGGGAGACAAATGTACTCGCTCGAGTGCGATGTACTACGTACTCGCTCTGTGGTCCTGAAACGTGGAGCTAGTTGGGATGATTTTGTAATAATGTCAAAGTGTTGGGGGTTAAACGTGGAAACCAACAAAAGAAAAGCTAATATCCCATAGGACCATGGTTTTCCTACCTTTTAATTTTATGGAGATAAAAGTTGCCGTGTGGGGTGGCATGTCATGCAAACAAAGGACATGAAAAGCAAAGCTTTACCACAATGTATACTAAACGTTATTTTCATTCAATTCACTGGGGCTATGATATAGAAGTTGTTCATTCACTGCATAACTTTTTAGTTAAAATGGTCATCGAAATTGACATAAGTCTTTATTTTGGTTATTAAGATTGAAAATCGATTGAAATGGTCCCTGAGTTTGCCCACCGTCAACCATTTTGGTCATTCTATGAAAAATTATGTTAAATTAAAGGTGTTTTTGTCCAATCAACCCATCGACTTGGTTTTTTTCATTTAATGAAGATTTTTCACAGAAAAACCAAAATGGTTGACGGTGAAAAAACTCAGGAACCCTTTCTATCGATTTCAATATTAAGAGTTAAAATAAAGAATTATGCTAATCTCAATGACTATTTTAGCTGACAAGCCTTCATTGCACCATTAGATTAGAGACACTCATGACACTACTTGATCATTGAGTTATTAAGTCCACAGATTACGTGTTTTAGCCCAATCCTAAAGCCCAAACCCATTAAAAGATTGAGAGTGTGACCAAATCCTCACACTATGACACGTGGGCCTAATAAAGTCTTATTTTTTTTCTTTTTCTTTTTTTTTTTCTTCTAACAAGACTATATTTCAATGCACTCTAATGGAGTGAGAGAACTAAACTTGGACGTAATAAAACGAGCACATTTGATCTTAGCCAAAAGTCGAGAAAGGTATAATAAAACGAGCAAACTGCCTTAAACCTTCGAGCCTTTTATATTATTGGTTCTAATTGTCAAGCTCCCTAAACTAATGAGCTAGTTTGAATACACGCATGAGTTTCGCTAGAGACAGTCTTCCAGGCATGCATGAAAATTGAGAACTACATTTAGAGAACGTGTTGCATGGGTTTGGTTGGATTATTCATACAGAAAACTTGCCTGTAAACATAAATACTCTATTTTTAAGTCGGAATATATGGGAAAGACCACTAGAGAACCCTATGAGTCTATGACCATCTGCTCTAGGACCTGAAAATGTTCACAAATTGTTCGATGACATGCCTCTACGACAGAATTTGACAAGCCTTGGTAGGTGATGCTTGACAGGCCTCAACATAAGGCCTTGGAAGTTGTCGAATAATCTAAGCATAGCGACGTGGCCATCAAATGCTTGGCTAAACGCTTCAATGAAAAAACTGATATTATAGTCCTTGCATACTTGACCAAAAATTAACATGAAAACTCGATAATATGTACGGAATAACCAGAATAATATACTAGAAAGTCCTCGACTGCATAAGATAACATCCTACTAAAACGCAAAATTACGAGTGACCGGAGAGTGTACATGACAGAACATCCACAGGAAAAACGACGTTTTGGCTTCAAGTAATCACTTGGTAATCTCAGCCTCCAGTCGATCTGAGACACATCAAGTCCCTTCCAAGTCCCACCACCCAAACATGTATTGGCTTCTTTTAGTAGAATTAAATTTCCCAAGCCAATTGGGTCGTTGTCTTTTACCAAGAAACACAAATGATGGAGTCCCCTCTCACATATATAATATATATGGCTGTGCAGTGAAGTTGCTGTGGTCCATGCACATAGCAGTCTCCACGGCAGCAAAAAGAACACCAAAAGGCAAAAAATGTGTGAAAAGATTGGCATTTCGGAGATTATTCATGGCCACATTCCATTTCTTCACATTCGACAATGGATATGATCTGAATGCGAGTGAGTCACTTTACCACTCAATTTTCTGTGATCCTAAAACTTCTTCCTACTTGTTAATTGTATACTATATTAGTTGCATGTGTAATGCGTGTTGACAAACTACATTAGGAAATAATTATGAAACATTGACGTTTACATTGGAAAATATAAAATTTGTGAATGCAAAGTTACATTGTGTTACGAGTGTTTCTCATTCCAGACTCATAAACATATGAACGGACTTGTAAAATCATGTTAATTAGTATAAAATGTAGGGATTATGGTTATGGTTTAATTTAAGGTTCTGATTGTTTTTGGATTGTATGAACTCAAGGCCAACTGATCTCTGAGATTCAGTGGCTCGAGACGAGGCCACTGGGGAGGGGGCGAGAATTGCAAGGAAAGGCTTAAAGGTTGGGACCTAGAGTTCATATGTGCTTTATTAGGCGCGCTGAAGAGACTCCATCCACATTGCCACTACAAAAGAAAACAATGTTTTATCAACATGATACATATTATTTAGTAGCATATATAATTTTTCTTTTGTGCGAACTTATACATGCTCAATTATATAAAATAATTTTTTGTTCACCTAAACTCGAGGCATATTTATTTAGATAGTACACACGAACCTCAATTATAATTTATACATATTTCAACCCCTGATATTGTGACTTTCATTGAACTGTTGATGAATCCTTGCGTGAGGCTTTTGGCACGAAGCCCTCTTACATTATCGTGATTTCTTGATTTTGATAGGAAGCCCTAATTTTTGCAATATTCATGCACGAAGCCCTAAAACTTACTTTTGTTCAAATTTTCTACCAAAAACCATGCATTTGTGACCTTCTCTGAGCTTTTAATTTAAGCACTTGTAATCCTTGACTTTCTTCGTTGTTACTGATGAGTAGATTTTATATTATATATTTTACCCTATTCTTAGTATATTTTGGTTAATATTTTAGAAGAATTTTGATATTTTGAAATGTATTTCCAATATAGGACTTTCGACTTCATTTGAAGCAAAACAGGATCAAATGGACGAATTTTGGAGTAATTTCAGTTGGAGGACGTTCGTAAGTCACTTAGTTTGATCGTATCAAAATCTGGGATTTTTCCACCAAGCGGTTCTGGCAATAAAATAAAGGAGCGATGCGCAGTGCTGGAAAATTACGTTTTTGGGCTTAAATTGCGTTTTTGGAGCCCAAGATAACCTCGGATGGGTTCGTGGCCTTCTGGAGAAGTGTTCAGAATATTCCAAACATTAGATCCAGCTATATTGGACCAGTTTTGGAGCAGCTTCTGGGTCCAAAACGTGGCTGTTCAGATTTTAGGCGAATTTTATCATTTAATTTAGGGTTATGTTTCCTATTTTATTTATTATTATTATTAGTTTCCTAGGGGGAATAAAGGACCTGTTTTTAGGGTTTGTGTGGTGGCTTGGCATATATATTGCTTGGCTGTCTACCACATTTTCTCTACGCTTTCTTTTATGCAATTTTGGAGACAGAGAGAATCGCTAGGGTTCTTGGAGATTTTATACTTTAAGGTGTTTTCAATCCTTTTCTTAATAATATTTTCTATGATTTCAATTATGAATATGCGTAACTAATTTATTTTGCTAGGGCGAAGCCTTGAGCCTTAGCATGAATATGTGATTTTTATTTAATTGCTTATGATTGATTGCATGCATATTTTGAATTGTTAATTACCAATATAAAAACTATCTATTTGTCTTAATGTCTGATCACCATTAGGATCTTTAGAAAAGTAATTTGATGCAATTTTGGTCGGAAGGTTCCCTGAAATTGACGCTGGCTTCTTGTGATTAATAATTGTAATTTCACTTAGGATGAACACCATGTTTTAAGGGTTGCTTGGTTTTTCAAGGGGTTTTCATAAAGCATAATGAGTATTTCATGTTCAGATTTGATCCGAACGTCAGGACGGGTTGCATGTTAGATATACGTTATATGTTGGAGGTTCCAAGTAGAATATGAATTAGGAAAATCTAACCTTCAAAGTGGCATGTGTAGATCATAAGTAATTGGTAGAAGTTCATAGGATTGCTAGGTGATGGTGGAACCCTAGTGTTTTCTTAATTTGATTTCTCTCAAAACTGTTTTCTTTTCCTTCTAGTTTTTAATATTGCTGATTGTCTTATTTTTATTAATTAATTTCGTTTTTAATTTAAGTAGGCTATAAAATCAATCACCGCAATTTCTACCTTACAATAATTAATTGGAAATGTGTTAGTTTCGAATTATTTAATAATCCATATAGAGAAAGACCTTGTGAGATCCGTTTATACTACAACAACTTTGTGATTCTTGCAAGTATAATAGGAGTTTTTAGCCCATTCACATGAGTAGTAAAATCCCTATCAGTTACAAACTATACAAGAAGGAACACATTTTAAGAAGCATTTTTGTTCACCACCATAAACTATATTGTATAATAACCATACATTTAATCATTTGCCACGTTCCTTTGACTTGATTTTGGTTGATTTTTTAGGATAAGTATTAGCAGACAGTAAAAGTCTCCCCACCAGAATGTCAACAACTGAAAGTAAAAGCCCTCGACAACGCGCACGTGTCTTTCCCCATTGGGGTAGACACGATTGTACCAAACGGGCAATATTTGAAAGATAAAATGTTAATTATATGTAAAGGGGTGTCAATATTATTGGTACCTTGAATATGTGTACATATGACCTATAATCCGATCAAAACAATAATCATTGTTTGACGCTAGTTTGTTCCATATTTAGACCTTCTAAACTCAACAGTAAGTAAGCAGGAATAATATGTTAATAATCATGGCCTTCACACACTCGTACAAGCACCATCACCCTTATGAACATTTTCTATATTATCTTATTG